CCGGGTGGACCTGGTGGGTGTCCGGGCGGACCTGGTGGTTTCCCGGGTGGACCTGGTGGGTGTCTGGGTGGACCAGGTGGGTATCCGGGTGGACCAGGTGGGTGTCCGGGTGGACCAGGTGGCTTCCCAGGTGGACCAGGTGGGTGTCCGGGTGGACCAGGTGGTTTCCCAGGTGGACCTGGTGGGTGTCCGGGTGGACTAGGTGGTTTCCCAGGTGGACCTGGTGGGTGTCCGGGTGGACCTGGTGGTTTCCCAGGTGGTCCAGGTGGTTTCCCAGGTGGACCTGGTGGGTGTCCGGGTGGACCAGGTGGTTTCCCAGGCGGGCCTGGTGGTTTCCCGGGTGGTTTCCCAGGTGGACCAGGTGGTTTCCCAGGCAGACCTGGTGGTTTCCCAGGTGGTCCAGGTGGTTTCCCAGGTGGACCTGGTAGACCAGGTAGGTGTCCGGGTGGAACAGGTGGGTGCACGGGTGGACTATACTCATCTGGAGTAAAACCTGCTCTGGATGGCACTTGTCTCTTGACCTTGGCAGAAAGACAGCTGGTCCCTGTCATAAAGAGTTATATTCACGTATTTGTTCCATGGTGACTTCACTTACTCTGTCACTTACTAGTTGAGAATTTCATGACTTACCTAACACCACAAGGGCAACAATGAACAGCTTGAGAATGTTCATTGTGGCTGATGATACCCTAAAAGACAGTGAAAAGGGAGGGAAAATGAAAGTCCCTCGGGTGAACATGAGCTGCTTGGACACTGTCACTTTGTTGAGGCCCAGGTTCCATGCCCTGCCACAAGGCACCTGGACTGCGAAAGGGAAAAATAGTCATAACTCCCTGCTCATCTTAATGTCGCCATTGGACAGATTTTGTTTTTTCTGTCATTGACCAACATGGTGCCAGCATCAAACATGCACTTCAAAGTCCACAGTCACACAGAGAGTCGCCGTGCAAAAGCTTTTGACTTCATAAACCATTTGTCAACAAAGTGCTGCATTGTAGAACACAGTGGACGCCCTGCATTTTCACAGTTCCTCACTTATTTGGAGATTATTTTTTGAACTTTTAAATATTTTTTTGTGGGACCATCCCACGTTTTTTGGGGAAAATGCTATTTGTTCGTATATCACCAATTTTTCAAGAATGTTTTGGGTTAACCAGTGGCCAAAATTCAAGTTGATTCTACCTTTCTCGCTATTTCCATCTCATCAGCAGGAGATCATACCAAAAGTTTCAGAAATTTACCCTCTTCTCACAAAATCTGGAGAAAGATAGATCACACTCACACCGAAGGACAAACTCATCAAGAAGAACAGAAACTTTCATGGTCATATTTTCGCTTCTGTGACTCTAACATCGGAACCGTGGTTCCTTTCTGTGACAGCATTTTGAAATGGCCTTTGAAATAAGCAAAAGAATTGATGTTATTGAAAAACAAGTGCTGTGAGTGGCACCTAAAAGAAACAAAAAAAATATTCAATGCCACAAACGTCTTATGTTGTTTTTTAGATTCCAAAAGCTTTATTTAACACTGTTAATTTGTGAAGAGTGTCTCATAAGTACTTCACACATTAAAATATAATTCAAATATAATTTGGCATTTAAAAATCATGTGTGTGTGTGTGTGTGTGTGTGTGTTTAATTTAATACAGTTTAAAAAAATCTTTTTCTTCCATTGTCTTAGTAAGTCTAGTCAGCTTTTATTTTGTCACTTTGTTTTAAATGTTTTCAGTTCTTTTATTTTCAAATTCTTTTCAATGTTGTACTTGTAACTCTGTGCTGTGACAGTGAAGTTGTATTTCCCATCATTCCAAAAGTATTAAAAGCATTTTTAATGCAGCATTATGGCAATTTGAAATCTTTATTACAAATTGAAAACTACAATTTGTTTTCATGTCCAAATATGGTTTACATGAAGGAAAAACTTTCATGTTAAACCGGGATCCTTTTTTAGCTGATGTAATTAATCCAACTTAATTATTATTTGGAATTACGACATCCAAACACAACAGGTTTGCTTTTATTTTACAAACATGACTTGAAGGTAACATTTTTCGGTTGCAGCAATTGGAAGATTTTTTTTTAATTGTTTCAAGCGTTCAGTAGTTAAATTTATTGAGTGTTTACCTCTGCGAGAGGCTGGCAATGAAATTCAGCGTGGACCCCGCCTACTGTCTGAGGACAGCTCTGATAGGCTCCAGCACGCCCGCAACCCTCGTGGGGATAAGCGGATGGATGGAGTCTTTTCCTTTTTTAGTGGACACACTGCAAACTCCACCTGCTCCACACTGCACACACACAATCTTGATTCTTTTACCACTTCACTGAAAAATGTATTATGAAAAATGAAATATGTTGAGAGCACGTTTTTTGCACGAATGCACAGGTTTTGTCCAGATTTAAAATGGCGTTTTTGTCATTCATCTGGTTTGGAAGTGTGTTGTCCAATGTGACCTGAGTCAAAATGCATATTTTTCCCTTAATTGTACAAAGCGCAACACCAAACATGTCCAACATTAATGTTGTGTTCCCTGAAAACACTTCAAGATGGCGATAGTACTCACCACGCACACTCAAGTTTGCTCTTGGAGACCCACTCAGGCTTTGCGTTGTCGTCAGTCTTGAGACACGGTTGTCTCTTCTGTCTCCTCACAGTTGTTTACAGAGGGCTTAAATCACCTGTCTGGCTGCCATGAAGGAGGGGCCTTGTTAATTAGGCTGGGTCATTTAATTGATTTTCTTTTGTTGCCGCACAATCACAGTAGGTGGTTTCTATTTGGTCGGTATTGCCAAGCGGTATTTCTTCTTCATTTGCCAAGTTGTAATTGATCAGTTAGTTGCGTCACTTTGAAGTGAATTCAACACATTAAAGGTCACTGCCACTGGAATGTTATGTGCAGGTACGTGGAGTCCTAAAACGTCTTCAAACAGCTGTTTAAAAAAAAAAAAAAAAGATTATCCAGCAGGAGCTGGGTGGTGTACCTGATGAAGGCTATTGTGGCTTTGCAAACTGGACAAACGGGTTTGTCTTCTCTTTGTCAGGAAGTACCAATCACGATACCTTGGCTTATTACCTGAAATAATAATGTGTTGTGGTCGAAATTATCCAATTTCACAAAATCATGTTGTCAATTCTTTATGATATACAGTTGGAATGAGAACACAGCTATTCACTTGTACGTATTTCCTTATGTTGCACCCATAATGTCAGTTTAAAAATCTAAAACAGCAAACAAAATTTTCACGAAGTATAGAGAGTCAGTGAGAATTGAAAGATATTACGTTGTCAGATAGAATTGATAAAATGACAATTGTGCAAATGCTCCCAAGAGTCTGAAAGCAATGCGGTAGTCAAGATCAACAACTGTGGCGAATAACGCAAATAACGCAGCGTGACAAAGTTACAACAATGAATACGGCAGCAACACACAGCTTTGAAAAAACTGGCAGAAAGGGCCAAATATCCCTCAGGAATTAAAAGTCACCTGTTTCGGAAGTTAATGGCAAGAGGGATTAAGATGTTGGAATGTATGCAGGTTCTAGTGTGCAGAGTTGGATTGTGTCTCCCCGAAGGAAGGAGGTGGAAAAGGTGTAGTGAACAGGTTGAGGAGGCTCCAAGAGAAACTGTGCATTCCTTTGTTTTATTTCATGTTATGTCCAAGCGGCCAGAACTCCCATCACGTTCATCCGATGGACTTTCTCTCGATGTACATTAACAGTCTCTTTTCACTGTCTTTTTGGACATCATCAGCCACAATGAGCATTCTTAAGATGTTTGGTAAGTCATCACACTCTCAACGACCAAGTAACCCAGTAAAGCAATTGAGAACAGTTTCTCATTAACAATGCCGACCTGGATGGAATGTCAGGTTCAGAGTCTTGCCCAAGGGCACTTTGACAGCCCACAGTCAGAGAGTTGCGATTCCAGTCTTTCTGTCACTGGAGAACCCGCTCTATAAACTAAGACCTGTCTTAGTTCTTGCAGCATGCCAGTCCTCTTGAGTGGGTACCGGTGATCTTCTCGGCAGTCCTAACTACATCTGAACAATTTCTCATTTTCCGAAACTATGATTTCAGACGTATTCAGGTGCAGTGGCCCTGTGATTAGCGCATTGACCTCACAGTGCAGAGGTACCGGGTTCGATTCCAGCTCAGGCCTTCTTGTGTGGAGTTTGCATGTTCGCCCCGTGCCTGCGTGGGTTTTCTCCGGGTACTACAATTTCCTCCCACATTCCAAAAACATGTGTGGCAGGCTGATTGAACACTCAAAATTGTCCCAAGGTGTGATTGTGAGCGTGGATGGATGTTTCTTTATGTGTGCCCTGCGATTGGCTGGCAACAGTTTCAGGGTGTCCCCCGCCTACTGCCCGAAGATAGCTGGGAGAGGCTCTAGCAAGCCCCGCAACACTTGTGAAGATAAAGCGGTTCAGAAAATGGATGGATAGAGGTTCAGGAGCTCATCAAAGCTGTTTTTCTCAACACTCTTATCTACCTGAGCTTACCAATCAGAAGCAGCATGATACTCGTGGAGGGGTCATAATCAACTCCACAACATCTGTAACCAGTCACGCTTTTAACTCTTCCAGTTACCTCCCAACTTGGAATTGAGACATGCTGTCGGCTTGGGAGCGGAGAACATTAATCTCTGAACAAAAAGTAGGACTAGATGGCATCTACTATACATGGGGGTGGGGGTGGATTCCACTTCAACATGTGCAAAAATTACTGAGAAAAAAAAAGGAACAAAACATTTCGGGGGCATCAAAACTGGCCTTTTCACCCCAGGCATCCACTGTGCTTTGCATGCCACTGCAAAAGCGATGAAATCACCATATCTGATTTATGGACCATTAACTATTTCACAGATTTGTCTATATTTACACTTGGACATCTTCTGCACAATTTTAGAAGGACTAATTGAAAGAATAAGGTTATTTTTGCTCTTGATTGTTTCCAAGTTGCTTGAAATAAAACCGGAAACTCGTTTCTCGCTTTGCCTTTCAAACGCAAATGCTAATGTGCTTCCGGGTGTGCGGTCTATTTGATCATTTCCAGAAATAATTCAGCCCTCGTCGTAATTGTTTAGTGCAGTCAGATTTTGTTCTCCTTCCTTACATCCAAAGTAGTACATGTGCAGAAGGTGGTGGTTCTGGTGGACTGAGTGGCCCCTTCACTATTGCTCTGGGTCTATTGGTAGCTTTCAATGCTTTTCATCAATTTTGGAGAGATGTTCAGTTCTTATTAATTTCACTGTTGTGCCATATTTTTTCCAGTTGATGATTTCTGTCTTGACTGTGTTCCAGAGTATATTTCATGCCTTGGAAATTATTTTATAACCTTCTCCTGACTGAACCCTTTGAACAAACAAGATGTTGTGTTGGAGGCTCTTGCCAGCTTCTGCAGTCAGATGAGACAGGAAAAATGACAGGGGAATTGTATTGGAACAACTAAACTTCATTTGGGGTAACTCAGAGGCACTCCAAAT